TGCCAAGCCATCGCCTCCCTCGACGAGCAATGTTAGCGGATATAGGGTCAGGCTGGAAAAAAGCTAGCGGCGGTCAAACAAAAACTTGGCATCAGTCAATGAAATCCACAACAGTTGGTCTAAGCCACGTAGGAAGGTGTAGACTTCCAGGCTGGGGTCCTCGGGACGGTAAAAATCTATGGTTGGAAACAATTGGTGACATGGCTCAAAATCGTTCTCAGTGGCGCAGATGCATCCACTCCCTGTGACTTATGATCTTCAATGAAACTGTTTTGTATTTCTTTATTACTCCTTTGTCTCACACCTCTGCTCACTGTTTCTATTATGCTTTTCTTGTACTTTCTTCTCTTGCTTCGCGTGCTACACGGAATGTGGCGACTTGAACTTCCGCACATTTGTGCAAAGTTCTATGTCGAAAACAGACAGACAGACGGTGACCTTCCTCAGTACTCATTGCGTAACTTCGTACTGAAAAATGAAGGGGCTTAAAAGCTATGGTGTTTCAACCTCTAAAAACCGTGACATTCTAGAAAACTAGTTATTTAGGCCGCGTTGATGTCTTTGAAGTCGTTTCTAGTTGGTTTGAACTAGGAATAACTTTCACGATTTATGTTTGACTTTCGATCCTGATAGACCTGAGAGCTAGCCACACTACCTAGTGACTCTTCAACCTGGCTCACCTAACCTGACGGCCAATTATAAGGATACATTTTCGGGACTTGCGTTTAATAGTTTCCTTAATTTTTTCTGTTCGTCGTAGGAGTAGTAGAATTTCCCAGATGTCCGGGATAGATGTTCAGTCGTTTCTATTGCGCTCATTTTGAGTTGCTTCGACAAATAAAGCTTCAGTTATCAGTCTCACCTTCCACCCTATTATATTAGATTTTAAAACTGTCATCTTATACCATCCTATTGTATAGCTGCGTGTAACTGCGTATAGTGTTATAAATAAGCTTTTCTCCAGATTACTTTATTTATTCGGTTCAACTAACCTACATTTCGCTAGGTTTTTGTGCTCTGCTAATCTGAATGACCCCGTTCTACTACTCCGACACATGTATTTGACCTGACAATCATTGTAGTCAGGGTATTAGATTAACTAAATTGTTTTGTTTTAAAGGCTCCACAGAATTGATCCGACAAAGCTTGTTTCTAATTGAGTTCTTTGGTTTGAATGCCAGTCACTTTTATTCCTGCCCTGTTAAGAATTCTGCGTAAGGTTTCCGAAGTTCCTTCCTTGTATCGAATTACTGCTGATGATTTAAATTCCTTATTGTTGGTGTTGTCTTTTGCATGTTTGACATGTATGTCATCATTAATATTATTATCATCAATATGACTACTATCATTATTTATTTTATTTTTACACATCCTTACATATTTCCTGACTAATTTATCCGGGTAATTATTAAGTTTCAAGTCTTCTTTTATGTGTATCACTTCCTGTCCTAGATTTTCCTTGGTACAACTTAGTTTTTGTGCTCTATTACTGAAACATTTCACCAATCCCACTTTCACTGACATAGGATGGGATGATCAGAAATCTAAATATCGGTTTGAATGTGTTGGTTTCCTGTAAACACTAGTGTTTAACTTCCCATCTTCTTTCCTTTTTACGTTGCAGTCTAAAATTGGTAGTTCGCCCGCTTCCTGACTTCCCAATTCACTAGCGAATTGAATTGACTCCACTTTTGCGTCGATGTGTCCGAAAAGTCTATTTATGTCCTGTGTTCTAAATACGAACTTGAAGTGTGGCAATTTGAACTGGTGTCCACTGCTGTGCAAAGACCTATTTTGCAATTTAATCAATTAAACTGGATATTTTTGTATCGTTGTGTGTGCGCGCGCGTGTGTGTATGTTGTGAATTCGCCGACCGTACGCATGTGTAGTTTATCACAAAGATAATATGCTGGTACTATATTTTACATACTCCCCTATTCATAACAGTTCCTGTACCTTTATATGTGTACATTATATGGAGTGTGTTAAGTTGAACAACACTTGCAACACTTTTGTACAAATGTGTACGCTAAAAAGATATATCGATCAGTCATTTTTTTATGGTTAACAACCCTGGTACAACAGTCTCCCCTTCACACACCAGTCAGCTTGTTTTGATGGCATTGTTATGTTTAATAAAGATACTAACAGTTAAATCGTGACTGACTGACCGGTTTCAACTCAGAACTTTGCGCTGATGTGCAGTAGTTCCATTTGCCACTCTCCCTCCTTGTAGTACACAAAGCAAGAGAAGAGAGTAAAGAAAGATTTACAAGAGGGATAATAAATGCAAATATAACTGAGGGAAAAAGGATAGTAAAGTGGAAGAAAAATGGAGTTTTATTGAATACGATAAATCACGAAGAGTAAATGCCTCTGATCAAACAATTGAGAACGATTTTCAGCCATATCATCAATTGTCTCCAGCCTTCATTGGTTCTTACCGTCTTGAGGACCCCATCCAGTTAGGTTGTCTACACCTCCCTACTTGTCTGGCTGCCTTAATCTAACTGTTATGGCTTTAACTGACCGATGAAGCCATGTTTTGGTTTGACCGCCAGCACTAGCTTTCTCTTTTCCAACGTGATCCATCCTATATCAGTTAACATTCTCCATCGAGGAAGACGATGGCTAATGTGCATGCTTAACACAGGTCCTCACCACCTCAGTCAGTGTAACTTCACAACCTCATCGATTGATTTCCCCTTCTCACCTAACACGCGGCGCCTAACCTCAATATTACGCATCCTATTATGCCACCTAGCATGGGAGACAGAATACAGGCATTTATGATCAAAGAAAATTAGTTAGCTAGCCTTTTTATGTTTTCCACTTTCAATGGTCATGTCTCATTCACAGCCATGATGAAGGAGCACAAAGCGAACTGGTCGACAGTTGGATATCACGTCTATGCCAGAGGTGATGTAAGTTGGCATATGCCAAACGAGTCTTCTGTATCTGTGTTGAGATCTCGTCAGCAATCAGCCCTTCGGAATTGATTGGTTTCCGGTGACCAAAACAGGTTCATACTCCATTCAATCCTTTCTGAATATGAAGCTCACTTATACACCATAAGTTTGAAGTCAGGCTTTTCCAGCTCTACTGAGTAAACTTACCTATCCAGTGCGCAGCTGGATGTTCGAATTTACCCTTCGACTTTTGTGAGGAACACCTGTGTCATGTGTGAAGGCAGTGGAAACTGGAATTACACAGTAGAAGCCATAGATATATGGCTATATGAAAACATTTCAAGAGGAAGGTCAAAGTTTACCCACTCTCAGGAGCCATGCAGGCTTTAGACCAGGAAGAGGGTGTATTGATCATATCTTCACCCCTCGACAGATTCTAGAACATAGCCATTCCTACCGGCGTCCAAAAATCGTTATATTTCTTGACCTTAAGGGGGCATTCGATTCTGTCGACCGAGATGTACTCTGGCGATGCTTGGCTGTAACGGGGAATGCCGAGGAAATACATTGCACTGATCAAGGCACTCACTCTACTCGAACTCATGTAGTCAGCCACCAGGTAAGAGTTTGCGGCGAGTTGTCATCTGAAGTGGTGACAACTAGCAGTAACCGTCAGGGATGCCAACCCACTATCCCCATTTCTATTCAATCTCATCATAGATGTACTGATGGTCTTAACCTTAAGTGACTTTAGCGGCTCAGAGATCGACTTGCTACCAGGGAACAATCTCGTTGACTTAGAATATGCATATGAAATAGCCCTTCTAGGTGTGGTGAAGACGCTGACAAAATGCAGAGTCTTCCGAACACCTTGAGCTGCAATCTATGTGTGTTTGGCATGCAATTTGGTCCTACCAAATGTTAGATGATGCTACAAGACTGGACTGCATAGACTCCTAGCTTAGAAATAGGAAGTGAAGTGGTTGGTGGAGCACATTGACCGCTTCAGTTATCTGGGAAGTTGCATCAGCCAGCGCCAACGGGCTGGTCGCTGACGAAATGTCAGCCTGGATACAGACGGTTAGTTTCGCATGTGTCAGTTTACGCCGTCTCTGGTGTAGACATGGTATCCGGCTATCCACTAAAGAGCGAGTGTACTTCTCATCAGTCCGCTCCGTCCTCCTTTATTCCTGTGAGTGAGACCTGGCCATTAAAAGTGGAAGACATAAACAGACTAGCTGTCTTTGATCATAGTTGCCTGCGTTCTATCCCCGTGTTAGCTGGTGGTATAATAACGTGAGCAATATTGAGGTTAGGCTTCAGTCGAGTGCTAGGTAGGTGGGAGGGGAAATCAATCGACGAGGCTGTGAAGCTATATCAACTGAGATGGTTACAACATGTGTTACGCATGCATGCCTAGTCATCGCCTTCCTCGACTATGGGTAATGTTAGCTGACAAAGGGTCAGGCTGGAAAAGAGAAAGCAGTGGTCAAACCAAAGCATAGCTTTATCAGCCAATGAAATCCACAACAGTTAGTTTAAGCCAACCAGCCATGTAGGAAGGTGTAGACGTCTTGACTTGTTGGGGTCCTCGGGATGATAGAAACCAATGGTTAGAAACAGTTGGTGATATGCCTGAAACTCGTCGTTGTCAATGGCTAATGCAGATGCATCCACTCCTTGTGACTTATGATTTCTAATGAAACTGTTTTGTTCTTCGTTATTACTCCTCCTTTGTCTCACACCTCTGTTTACTGTCTCTATTATGCATTTCTTCTACTTTCTTCTTCTCTTGCTTTGTGTGCTACAAGGAGTGGAGTGTGGTGCACATATGTGCAAAGTTCAATATCGAAAACAGACAGACAGATAGACAAACCCACTATCAAGCCGTATCAATTAGTTTATAGGAGCACTAATTGCTAAGATCCAATAGTTAATTATTCGTATCTCTTGTTGTTATTGCTTTCTCATACACTCTTTTATAAATTTATTATATTTTCGTTTACTTTTATTGTGAAGGTGGAAATACAATTTTTCTCTGCTTAAAGATGCCATTGAGGAAATCCCTTCTTCATTGAAAGACTCAGTTAATGCACTGTTTAAAGTTAAAGCATCTTTTATCATCACATATAAATTCATTTATCATGAATAATAAAATTATTACTGTTAAAGATGGTAAGTTGATACATTTTTTAGAATAGTTATGTCAACCTTTCTATATGTGTATTTATTCTCCGTTACTGATAGCTCACAAGAGAGAAAGGGAGAGTAGCCGATGTCCTGCGTGTTTAGTCCTTGGTTTTTTGGTGCAAACTGAATTCTATTTCAGGATTTCATTATAAGCTGACATCAGTTAGAGAACTATTGGAAAACCTTGAGAGTATTGGACATCTAGCGGTTTCGTGTTGGTCTGAGACTCTTCATCAGTATGCACCTACCGTGGTTCTAACCTAGGACCTCCAGATTGCCAAGACAAGCGCTCATAGACTGCTAAACCACTGGAACTCAATCCAATGGTTGGCTTTGGAACCAGAAGGTCCTGAGCTCAAATCCCAGTAGGTGTACATATACTGATGATGAGTCCCAAATTAAGACGGAATAGCTGATTATCCATGTACTCAGGTTTTTCCAATGGTTCTCTAAGTGATGTCAGCTCATGATGAAATCTGTGTAACTAACCAATCAAATCGCTGCAAACCAAAATTTGAATATGAATTCTAATTCATCCAAATTGTAATGTATTCAACAGCCATATAACGATACCATATGCCAAGTAATTCACAATGGAAAGCTTATCAAAGCCCCTAAAGTGAGAACAGCAGTCAGACAAGACTTCTTACTATCACATACAATAATATTCCTAATTTTGGTGGATTTAGTCATACAGCGAACCGTGTGAAGCAATAAGAAGGGCATGGATCGCACTGATAAGAAGACTTGTAATAATAATTATAATAAATAACTTTTTTGTCTAAATATCTAGCAATAACTTTTTGTTTGCCTCCAAAGCCTCAGGATGATCGAGGGTGGGTGCCTTGCGCTGCGGGTTGGCCACCCCTCCGTACACCTCTTGAAATGCTCCCATATGACCGTGCGTCTTACATAGCCTCTCCTGAGGAAGTCCTACTCACTGCCTTCACGTGGCGGAGGTGTTTTTCACCGAAGTGAGAGGGCAAAAGCGGCACTCTTCACCGGGTTGACTGTCCATTGGATGACAGTCTAGGGGAGTTGGCTAAACCCTGATTCCAAACCTTCAACGACTGGCGTATGAAGCTCACCGGCAGACGTATGGACAAAGGGCTTATTGGATGCCCTGGATGTCTGGCCCCATTCAAAAAGGCGAATGAACGGGACTCCGGTCACCGGCTGCCAATAGATAGTGGACTCCCTACTCCACTCCTACTGCCTTGTAGGTCACACTTGGTTGTGTAGAGGCTAGAGCTGCACTCTCAAACAAAGGCCGAGCGATCCTGGGTACATCACTCGTACCTAATTCCCATGAAACTTCATGAACTCTCTACAACATCAACCAAATTCCAGTACTGGTCCAACAACGTCGCCTTCGGTGGTTTGGCCATGATGTGCGCCGACCAGATGACGACCTGGTCAAATCAGTTCTAAATCCCTCGCTTTCCATTTCCATCTTGGCGATGTCTCAGGGGTGGACAGCTGAAAACATGGCTTGGTACAGTCAGTCAAGGCTGATATGGAGTGCCTGGGCTGGGGCTACAAACCGTCTACGGACTTCGTCGTCTGTGGAACAAGAATTGGATAACCCTGTCGCAAAACCTTGCATCAGATCACCGCGCCTGGGCAGCGATGATTCGAGATGTTCATGAAGTCGGCTCATCCTTCCGTAGGAGATAACCGAAGTAAAGTAAAGGTAAGTAAAGCGAAATGGCCGTCCAGTGTGAGCTAGTGAGCACACTGCTGGTTGATGTGATTGATGAGTGGTAGGCAACTACTCATCTCAGTGCATGAATTAGTAGTATATTATAGTTTTATGTAAATATTTTTTGTTTGGTTTTTAAACTTCTATGAAGAAGTAATTTTTTTCGTCTAAATATCTACTAATGACTCTTTGTTTAACTTACTGTTCTTTCTTCTGGCTTCCCATATTATTTATCTTATTATTATTTTTTAGCAAGTTTAAATTTAAGTTCAATTGTTCAATTATTGAATCAAGGCGGTGTTATAGCTCTTCCAACAGATACTATTTACGGGTTAGCATGTTCTGTGTATAATACTGAAGCAATTGAAAGAATATGTCGTATAAAAGGTCGTTGTGAAACGAAACCAATGGCTATTTGTTTAGATCAGGTAAGTTGGGGTGTTAGAATTTTGTTCGGTTTATCCTTTTCTAACTTCCAAGAGTTGATTTGTAAGAATTAGATTTGTTTTGATGACTTTGATCAATCACGGATTGATATCAGTAAAAGAACCATTAAAAACCTGTGGGGAGTGCTGGACAGCTAGCCGTTTCATTCTAATTTGAGAATCATTGGCTGTAAGCACCCACCGTCAGGGTTCGAATCCAGAACCTTCTGGTTACAAAGCAAGCTGGTTCGTATCCCATTCAGCCACTGGGACCGATTTCATGACCCAACCATGAATTCTAACGTCTACACATTCGTGATTTAGCGCGACCATCAAACAATTTCGTCGGCTGGACATCCATTCTCACACTTGACTGGATCGACCTCATTGGTCATGAGTTTTCTAGAGTTCCAGTGAGAAATCGTGACCACTGAGGGTCATCTAGTCATGTGTGTGTGTGGATGGATGTCCCATCGATAACATTGGTTGCTGGTCACGCTTATTCACGAATTGGTAGACGTTAGAATTCATGGTTAGGTCATGAAATCGGTCCCAGTGGCTGAATGGTAACCTGTGTTCGGAGGCCCCACATGGTGGATGCGTACTGTCGATGATTCCCAAACTGGGATGAAACAGCTATGCAGTACTCCCTGGAGTATATATATCATCGGCGAAGTCCAGATCCTCCAAGTTTTTTGTGTGAGTCCATTTTATGCCTGTTTCCTCATTGCCTGTTGTCTGTCGCATTATCCAATCTACTGCAATCAGGAAGATCATTGGTGATAGTAGACAGCCTTATCTCACTCCCGTTACCAGGTCTATGAATAATAAACGTTAATATAAAGTTTGAATAAGGCATTAAGAAGACAAATTTCGCGAGATGATATCTTCATTTCGTAGTTTCTTTACAACCACTTTACAACTAACATGGTTAACAATAATAAAATAAAGTTCATGAAAATTACTCAGTTAAATTAAAACAAAAGTACATACTAATGATCAATCATATTTAGATAGGTCATGTAGTCCATGGTAGGAGAAGATTGAAGTCTATTGATTTTTGTACACACAGTTTAGGCTGTATGTGATTAATCCCCCAAAGTGCTTCCATCACCTTCAATAACCAACCTTGAATTAGAGTTATGTGATGAAATAATTGTGAAACAGTCATTAATATTGATTGATTTTGTGACCTGACATTAATAAGTGTTTTGCAATGGATGATGATGCTGGATTTCTATTCAGACTGATCGCGTTGGGATTTTCTATATGATTTGCTAGCCATTTTGGAACATGTTCTTTTCGACGACCACATTGGAACATTCTGTTGGTTCTACCTATATAGGTGTCACTACAGCTGCAGGTGAACTTGTAGATACAGTTTGATACAGTAGAGACCACAGAATTTCGTCCTTTATTCGTAGGTAGAATGTCCCAATGTGGTCGTCGAAAAGAACATGTTCCAAAATGGCTAGCAAATCATATCGAAAATCCTAACGCGATTTATCTGAATAGAAATCCATCATCATCATCATCCATTGCAAAACACTTATTAATGTCTGGTCACAAAATCAATCAATATTAATGACTGTTTCACAATTATTTCATCACATAACTCTAATTCAAGGTTGGTTATTGAAAGTGATCGGAGCACTTTTGGGGATTAATCACATACAACTTAAACTGTGTGTACAGAAAGGCACAATAGACTTCAACCTTCCTCTGCCTACCATAGACTATTTGACCTATTTAAATGTGATGATTGGTCATTAGTATGTACTTTTTTTTTATATATAACTGAGTAATTGTCATGCACTTTATTTTATTATTGTTAACCATGTTAGTTGTAAAGCGGTTGTAAAGAAACTACGAAATGATGATATCATCTCGCGAAATTTGTCTTCTTAATGCCTTATTCAAATTTATCAAAGGGACTAATTGTTTTAATCTTAAAAGAGCCGATTTTCCCTCAGAGTTTCAAACCCACATTGTTCATTCTTTCAGTTGGAGACGCGTTCGAATCTCCGAAGGTTATACATCAGTTCCTTTAACATTACAGATACGGTGAGCTGACGAGTTCCCAAAAGGACGAAAACCTGGACTCAATATGAAATAGACCGTGATAGGAATCCACCTTTAACTTGATAACCTACCATCTTAAAAATTTGACTGATAAAATTCAGTTGGGATTAACGCAAAGTACTATTTTGTGATTTGACACCAGTAACTAGTGTGATGTCTCTAGTCCTCTCATTGGTGCAGATAGAATTCTATCAGTCAGGTTGTAATGTGGCCACCATTCTAGGTAGCTCGCCATTTAATATAATCAAATCACTGTACACTCTGATAGCGAGCTAACTAGCACAGTGGACACATTGCAAACCTGACTAACTGATAGAATTCAATCTGCACCAATGAGAGGAGGACTAGACACATCACACCAGTTAGTTACTACTGTCCAATCAAAGTATCCACTACAGTCCTACAGAAGGTCAATCGCGAGCCCGAATAGCTCAATGGTAACGTCTCTGACTGCAGGCAACACTGCGTGACGCGGCTTCGAATCTCAGAAGGAGGGACATGAGTGTGTTCCTTCAAGGCGATTGCAGATACGCCTTGCAGACTGACTAGCACGAAACCTTGGGTCAAGCAAGGCTTCCTGTGACCGATTACTGCCTCCAACCATCTAATATCAGCAAAGTACTATTGTCAAATGTCTAGATCAAAAAAGATCCTGAACCTCTAGTGCTGATTCCAGAAGACTTATCGATGCCTCAGAATATACAGATCAGGTAACCGACACGAGAATATCAGAAAATTGACTGTCTTGTTTCTTAACCGTCAACAAATTAGACCTACAAGGTTACAAAGTACAAAATATATGAATAATAAACGTCAGTATAAAGCACAGCAATACTTATATAGAGAGGTTTCGCGTGCGTTTCGGATTGTGAGGGCGATTGTTACTTCCCGGCTGCCCACACCGTGGAAGTTGGTTGCGTGACCGCAGAGCCCAGGGGACAACTGCTTGTGGCCGGTCACACGTGGCCTAGCTGGAAAAAAGCTAGCGGCGGTCAAACAAAAACTTGGCCTTACCAGTCAATGAAATCCACAACAGTTGATCTAAGCCACGTAGGAAGGTGTAGACTGGCTTCCTGGTTGGGGTCCTCGGGACGGTGAAAATCTTTGGTTGGAAACAATTGGTGACATGGCTCAAAATCGTTCTCAGTGGCGCAGATGCACCCACTCCTTGTGACTTATGATCTCCAATGAAACTGTTTTGTTCTTCGTTATTACTCCTCCTTTGTCTCACACCTCTGCTCACTGTGTTTATCATGCTTTTCTTGTACTTTCTTCTCTTGCTTCGCGTGCTACACGGAGTGTGGCGACTTGAACTTCCGCACATTTGTGCAAAATTCTATGTTGAAAACAGACAGACAGCAATACTTCTGATCGTTTTTCACCAATTTTCTGCCAGCCAGCGTAAGATTAAACAATGGCCGCCATTGTTGTTTTGCCGCCAAATAATGGAGATCAGTTCGAATAAACAAGTCATATGTTGCTCATTCAATGTTCACCAGCATATAGAGGCATGACATTAGTTGTAGTCACTCCCCTTGGTAATCAGTCATTGAATGCTTCCCCTACCCCACCCATTTGAAATCCCTTCTATTTTAAAAAAAAAATCTTTTTGTCTCAGGTATCAAATATCTCACATTGGTGTGATACAAAAAATATTCCATGCGGTTTATTATCTAACTTATTACCTGGTCCTGTGACTGTACTACTTCCACGTTACGGTGGTAGTGGTGGTGGTAATGTCAACAGCAATAACAACAAATGTCAACAACAAGATCCATTAAATCCCCGTTTAAATCCAACAGAGAAACGTGTCGGTGTACGTATTCCAGATTCTGGTTTTATACGTAAATTAATATCAGCTTTACATGAAGAAAGGAAACAGTTGGATTCTGTTATCAGTGACAATGGCCATGATGATGATGATGTTGGTCATGGCGGCAGCGGTGGTCATCCATTGGTATTAACCTCAGCTAATTTAAGTGGACAGACATCAGCCCTTCAAATTGAGGTAAGAGAAAGCGTATTACATAATACCCCTCTTCTTCTTCTTGTATTTTGTTTTACATTCAATGGTTATTGATCTGTCCTCGTTAGTTGATTCTTTATTTATTATTATTATTATTAATATTATTGCTCCTAGTGGAACATAGGGCTTCAACTGCACGTCTCCACTTGCCACTTCTGTCTTACTTCTGATGTACTTTTCACCTGCATCCACCCATGTTAGTCCATACTGTTTCAACTCCTCCTCTTCACACGATCTCCTCCATGTCACCCTTGGATGTCCCACTCGAGCAATGGCCTGACGAGCGATGTCACCCAGCGGCGGCAGCCTCCTCAGCCACAAGTGTCCAATCCATCTCCACTTTCTCTTGCATATTTGTTCGCTGGCGATTGGTTCTTGTTTTGTTTGTTCCGATAGTTTCTTGTTGATGATTCTTTACGGCCCGGCCATCTGATCTTCAGTATAGATCCAGCGAACACAGTTGTAGTTTGATAAAGGTCTGCAACAGGCTGTTAGAAATATTCTTTGTGACCCACCCGACAAGTTTCTGATCCGTATAGAAAAACTGACTTGACGTTGTTTGTATTGAAAATCCGACTGAATTTGGTTGTTGATGCTGAGTGATGAAGATTTCCAGATTGGTTTCAGGTTGATGAGTGTGTTTCTCGCCTTCCTGATTCTCGCTCGATTTAACATCCTCATCCGTTCCGACTGCCCGTTGTTGAGACAATCCTCCCTAGATAATTGAGTGAATAAAGTAACCTCTTTCAAATCCCTCCCGTTGATGGTGTAATGGTCTTCCACGCATGATTCTTCCGTGATGTCACGTAGTGTTTCCTGCTTTGCTCTGACAGTTGCAGTGAAAGTGTCCTTTGTGGTTGTGTCCTTCAGTAAATGAGTGTTGAACTTGCATTGTGGCCTATCCCCAGCTATCCTCGAGGCTTTTAGCTTCACCTTGAAAGTCCCTTGTACTAGGTAGTGGTCTGAACCCACATCTGCTCCTCTCCTCAACCTTGTGTTTAGTAGGCTCCGTCTCCACTTTCATGAGATTGAAATGAAACCTATCTGCTTTTTGGTGTTTCCATCTGGTGAAATCCATGTCGTCTTGTGTATTTCCTTGTGTTTGAACACAGTACCACCAATCACTGAAGGCGCAGAAGTTTGAGAAGAGTTCACCATTGTCGTTCATTTCATCGAGGGCCTCTCGACCCATGGTGAGTTCTCTTTACTGTGTTGTCTCCTCCCAGCTTCGCATTCATGTCGCCCATCAGGATTTTGATATCGCCATTTGGGACGTTGTCCATTACTGTTTGTAGTTGTCTGTAGAACGCCTCCTTCTTCTCTTGTTCTGAGACGTTTTTAGGCGCATAGCATTGAATGACTGTAACTTTCCTTCCTTTTGAGTTTAACCTGGCTGTCATTATCCTGGAGGAGATTGGTCCCCACTGCATGAGAGCTTTGGCTGCTGTTGGTGACATCATGATGGATACTCCATCGTTGTGCTCGTGGTTGTCCTCTGGGTGGCCGGAAAAGATTATTGTCTCTCCAGTAGGTAGTTGGCACCTTCCAGTTCCGTTCCATCTGCTTTCGCAGATTCCCAACACTTCTATTCTGTACCTTCTCATTTCAGCGGCTATCTGGGCAGTCTTTCCAGTTTCGTACATTGTGCGAACATTCCAGGTACCCATCCTTACTTTTGCTTTCATCGAAAGAAGGCACATCGGCTGACTGGCTTCCCGAAGGCTTTCACCAGCCTGTGTCATTTCACTCCCCCGATTCCAGTGAAAGATTAGGTTATTGCTTATATTTTTAGAATTTTCGATATATTTGTTCGTTGAAGCCCTCTTTATCCGGGCTTGGGATGGGCTAGGGGAGATGGCTAAACCCTGATTCCAAACCTCCAACGACTGGCGTATGAAGCTCACCGGAAGACGTATGGACAAAGGGCTTATTGGATGCATTGGATGTCTGGCCCCATTCAAAAAGGCGTATGAACGGGACTCCGGTCACCGGTTGCCAATGGATAGTGGACTCCCTACTCCACTCCTACTACCTTGTAGGTCACACTTGGTTGTGTAAAGGCTAGAGCTGCACTCTCAAACAAAAGGCCGAGCGATTCTGGGGACATCACTCGTACCTAATTCCCATGAAATCAGAAAGAGCGATACATCTGTGCTATTCAGTCATATTGGTTCTCAGCATCCTGATGAACCTGGTCAGACAGCCCACACTTCCGTAAATGGCTGACTCAAACTGACTTGATGCTGTATTAATGCCACTGTTTTGTGTTTGACCACTCCTAACTCTTTTCCAACTTAATCTCATGCCAGCCAACATAATTCGTCATGGAAGGCTTTAGCTCAGCATGCGAAGAAAAGCGCATGTCTTAACCATTTCCATCGATGTAACATCGATTGACTTCCCGTCATTACCTAACACTTTGTACCTAAACCCAAAAGTACTCTCCATATTTATACCATTTAACTTGGGAGGTAGTACGCAGACATCTGTGGTCATAGACGACAGTTGGTCTCTTGAAGTCTTCCACTTTCAAATGACCATGTATCACAGCTATAAAGATGGACAGAGCAAAGTGCTGCACAGTACACACGTTATTTCATCAATGGCCCGTGTTGGATATTTTAAGAGGTTTTGTTGTAAGTCTGTCTGTCTGTCTCTCTTTACTCTGATAACTTGACTCTTTAACCTCGAATAAATTATGTAATCCTTTTTCTGAACATAAATGTCAACTTTTACTCACTCATAATTTGTTGTTATACGCTGTGCTTCCTACATTTGATAGCTAACTAAATGAACTATATTCACAACATCTCTAATTTTGCATATTTCTTTTGTTTATCGTAAATTTCCTCGGAACTTACGTAATCTGATAGTTTACCCGCCTCCCCCCCCATTTTCGGCCTTCACATGAAGCTGGAGTGTTGTTCACAATAGTGGAATGGTAAATGTGGGTGGTATATGTGGTGCTTACAACCAAACTGGTGAATATTCTAGTCTCCCTGCCCTAGGGGAGCTGGGCAATCTTGTTTTAATCAATAGACGAGGCTGGGAAGCTACATCGATTGAGACCGTTAGGATATATGTGTTATGTATGCCTGCCTAGCCATCGCCTCCCTCAACCGGCAATGTTAGTTGACATAGGATCAGGTTGGAAAAGAGGTAGCTAGTGGTGGTCAAAGCAAAACATGGCTTCATCAGTCAATGAAATCCACAACAGTTAATTTTAAGCCGGCCACCCAGGAAGGTGTAGACTTCCTCCTGATTGTTTGGGGTCCTCGTGACGGTAAAAGCCAATGGATATTCCACATAACTTGTATTAAATGTGGTGATAGAAGCTTCGTAATCGCTAATCACATGCATTCCAAACTATGTGTGTACAGAAAACACAATAGACTTCAACCTTTGCTTATTATGAACTTGTCTGACGTACAATTAAAATGCCATTCGTTATCTAATATGTACCTTTATTTTTGATGTAACTGATTAATTGTCATACATCTTATGTTATTATTGTGAATCACGCCACTTTGTGTGTCACGAAAAGGATTTCCAACAAGTTACAGACTTTTGTCAACAACTGCCAGCCGGTGAGAGAAAGAATTAACAACAAGAAATTCCGACTGGGAAGAAAACAATCAAGAGTCAATTGCATAACGAACATGTAATTGTCTGTCTGTCTGTTTTCGACATAGAACTTTGGACAAATGTGCGGAAGTTCAAGTCGCCACACTCCGTGTAGCACGCGAAGCAAGAGAAGAAAGTACAAGAAAAGCATAATCGAAACAGTGAGCAGAGGTGTGAGACAAAGGAGGAGTAATAACGAAGAACAAAACAGTTTCATTGGAGACCATAAGCCACAAGGAGTGGATGCATCTGCGCTAGCCAATGAGAACGATCACTTTGAGCCATGTCACCAATTGTTTCCAGCAGCCATTGGTTTTTACCGTCCCGAGGACCCCAGCCTGGAAGTCTACACCTTCCTACGTGGCTTAGACCAACTGTTGTGGATTTCATTGACTGGTGCCAAGTTTTTGTTTGACCGCCGCTAGCTCTTTTCCAGTCTGACCAATCCTATGTCAGCTAACATTGCTCTTCGGTCGAGGGAGGCGATGGCTTGGCATACGTAACACATGTCCTAACCATCTCAGTTTTTGTAACTTCACGACTTCGTCGATTGATTTCCCCTGTTTACCTAGAACTCTACGCCTAACCTCCATGTTGCTCACCTTATTATGCCACTTTACACGGGAAATAGAGCGCGAACATGTAACAGAAAATGAAGATGAATGATGGATCAGGCATAGGATGAGTAGGCCGTCGAGTGACATCACACACGCCAAGTCATAACTAGAGTGGAATCTCTCAATGGGAAGCAATGAACTAGATCGTCACGTCAGTGCGCGAGGGTGACATAGAGAAGATCGTGTGGCGAGGAGGAGGAGATGAAAGATTATAGGCAATCGTGGACCCACCTGAAGAGGACACCAGAGAATAGAACAAAATAGATATGAAAAAGAGAAGACGTTCAGCGAAGAGACTCTTTTCGACGGCAAATTCATTCACATAGCTGTACAATCGCATTTATATATAATTATTTGTGTGTGTGTGTGTACATGAGGTTTGTCAAAATTAGATAATTGATCAGGTAATACAAGAATGATCTAATATAGAAACAAGGTTAATCAGACAGCAACTAAAGTAAGATTGAGTTAGTTAGTAAGTTAGATGACGACGTAATATAGTTGACTAAAATGTTTCAACTTAGCTCAGGGTAACAACAGAGGCAATTATAGGTAGAGAGAGAGAGAGACTAAGTAGAAGTGGAGTAGATAATAATGCCATTTAAATTAGAACTGAAATTGACCAGATAAGTTGGATGATGTAACACAAATGACTAGAAATTGAGCGTTGGTCAAGTCAGTAAGTGATGTGTAGAAATTAAACAGGGTGGGGCGTAGGTGTAGAGAACAAGAAAGTTGAAAATGTAAAATATTACAATTGAAAAGACAAAATATAATACTAATGAAGACTCAGGCAAAAAAGAAAAAAGATTAGTTAGAATTTACTTGTCGGGTAATAAGATAGATTACGTCCATTGCTGCAAGTGTAGTGATTGAACGAACTTCTTCTGTATGCAGAGTTCAGGGCTTAGCAAGTGAATCGCCATTGCTTCTGCAGTTTGAAGAAGTCTGATTCGTACACTTTTAGGAAGACCACTTCTTACTCTGTAGACGACTGTGAAGTTTGTTCGGGGTGTGTAGCTTAGTGTCCGGATTCTATCGGATTTTCTAAGATGGAGCTGTGGGAGGAGGGGTCATCGTTTTTCACCTTTGTAAAACCATGTTGGTAAGTGTTCGGTGATACGCTTGGAAAGCGAACGCTGGGTACAGCCGACATACCTGACTCCACACGAGCAGGTGAATTGGTAGATACACATTGATAAGGCCAACAGTGGTAGCTTATCCTTCACGTTCACATGAATCATAGGTTTTGTGAAGAAAGTTAGTCGTAGTTCAGCTGCGAAGAAGGTCTTCTTGAGTGAGCGCGACAGTCGATTTTTTAGTGTTTCCGCAGATATATCCCCATTGAATTTTGAAGGTTTATGTAGAGCGGTTTCTTCGGGACGCTATGCATGGGCGGCTTTTGTGGCCTAGGATTCATAGATTTTTCAATAAATCGTTCTGGGTACAGCTATGTGAATGAATTCGCCGTCGAAAAGAGTCTCTTCGCTGAACGTCTTCTCTTTTTCATATGACTAAATGGGGATTTTCAAGATACTCAAAATAGTAGATATGTTTTGTTGAATTCAGCCTTATGTTCCACTTGGAACCCAAGAGAATGATAATCTTAATACTTTATATAACTAATTGACTAGTTTGAACACTGACTAAATTTATTCAGTGAACTCTTGTTGGGGTTATAATATTGATAACAAAGCTTTATTTCAGATAGCATATATATATATATTTAGTTTCAAAATATCTCCCATTCATACAGGATTTGCATGTGAAGTAATAATCTGACGTACATCATTTTGTCGTAGTGTTATTGCGTATGAAGAGAGAGAGGGAGAGAGAGAACCAATGCTGTACACGTTTTTTTTTTCAATTCCTTCAAGAACTGCATAACGCTTAGTAGGAAGCTCTAATTAAATATGTGCACGAATTTGTAAGAAATACAAAAGAGTTTAAGAAGTTTTGTGGATGAAAATTCTGATAGCCCAATGATTTAAACAAGCCGCCACTAGTTGATGATGATTACTGATGAAGAATTTCAAGCTTGGATAAAGCATTCGCCCACTACTACCTACTAGTCGTTCTCAGTAGTTCTCTAACTGATTCTCAATTGGTGGATAGTGATTAGCAGTGGAATCCAGGATGCACATTTCGTTTCATTTGGGACTCGTCAGCTGGATGTACCTGTACACAAAGACCTGACATGTCAACCTGAGTCCAAGCCCTTCGGTCCAATCAATCGACGGAAAAATCTCAAATTGAGTTAAATAATTAGTACATAATTATAAAATTTATTGATTTGATCTTTGATCCACCTTAAGGTCAAAGGTTGATATTCAAGTGTTGGTTTGTAGGGATTCGACTGGTTGGTTATAGGGTTTCATCATGATCTGACATTGGTTAGCGAAGGTGCTGGGTTCGAACCCTGGCGGTTGATGTGTACTGCCGATAAGTCCCAAACTAGGCTGACGAAACAGCTGGCTGTCCAGTACTCCATGGTAGGTTTTCCAATGATTTCTGTAATCGATGTCAGCTGAAATGTTGAGTTGATTCATAAGTCATTTGGCGGGGAGAAAATAACCCATTATGTGTTACCTAATTAATCAGTAATAATATTGTTCTGTGATTATTTTTTTTTGACGCGTAATCCTTTCATTCTACTTTTTCATGCTCTATTAGGAATTCTCTGAGCTTTGGCCTTCAATCGATCTGATCATTAATGGTGGTCCAATACAAACATCATTGAATTCGGAGTGTAATCGAGCTGGTTCAACTATTGTCGATTTATGTCAGTGTGATCAATTGCTGTATTCTATTATACGAGATGGAAGGTACTCATTATCAGCATTGATTCATATGATTGATTGATTTGTATTTTACAACTTTCAAAAGACTGGAAACACCCATTAAATCTTGAGAAAATTCAATGAGAAACATTATCTCTATCGGTAAAGTCATCTTATGTTAGATCAGTGGCCGGTGATCAGTAGGAAGTCTTGGACACCTCTATATTTCGTGCTTTTCTTTTGGCACTTGTCAACAAGACGTATCTGCATTTTTGAAAGAATTCATGAAGTTCGAGCCAGTGTCACCCAGTTTAGCAGTCAGAGACGTTACCGCTGTAAGCTATTCGAGTTGGCGAGCGATTGACCTTCAGTAGGATTGTAAAGGCACAGCTTCATTAGACACTATGAATTAGATAATATCTTGCGCCAAGTCGTTTGTTTGGTGCAGACTGAATCCCTGTCAGTGGTTGCTTGGAAGCAATCGGCACGAAGGAAGTATCAACAACATACAGGGGGCTCGTTTCGCATTTGCCAGTTTACGCCGACTCTGGCTTAGTAGACGAGATGTTCGACTATCGACCAAAGGGCGGGTGTACTGCTCATCAGTCCGCTCCGTCCTCCTTTATTGCTGGCTGTGAGACCTGGCCACTGAGAGTGGAAGACATGAAGAAACTACCTAGCTGTCTTTGATCATAGGTGCCTGCGCTCTATTTCCCGTGTAAAGTGGCATAATAAGGTGAGAAATATTGAGGTTAGGCGTCGAGTTCTAGGTAAACAGGGGAAATCAATCGACGAAGTCGTGAAGTTACAAAGACTGAGATGGTTAGGACATGTGTTACGTATGCCAAGTCATCGCCTCCCTCGACCGAAGAGCAATGTTAGCGGATATAGGGTCAGGCTGGAAGAAAGCTAGCGGCGGTCAAACCAAAACATAGCTTCACCAGTCAATGAAATCCAAAACAGTTGGTCTAAGCCACGTAGGAAGGTGTAGACTTCCAGGCTGGGGTCCTCAGGACGGTAAAAATCTATGGTTGGAAACAATTGGTGACATGGCTCAAAATCTTTCTCAATGGCTGTCGCAGATGCATCCACTCCTTGTGACTTATGATCTCCAATGAAACTTTTGTTCTTCGTTATTACTCCTCCTTTGTTTCACACCTCTGCTCACTGTTTCTATTATGCTTTTCTTGCACTTTCTTCTCTCGCTTCGCGTGCTACACGGAGTGTGGCGACTTGAACTTCCGCACATTTGTGCAAAGTTCTATGTCGAAAACAGACAGACAGACAGTCAGATCAACAACATGAATGGGATGCATGACACTGGTTGGTTAACTTGCTAATCTATCCATTAAGGTCCTACAAGCGTTTGTTTATTGTGACCTCATATAGCTTTCAGTAGGAAGGCCTTTGACTACAGGAGCACTGGTCGATGAAGGTTTGAATCTCCGAGGGACAATTGCGAGTTCCTTCAAGATTGAAGATCAGTGCTAATAAGGCACGAAAGCCGGGTGAAGGCAGAGCTTCCTGCCGGTTCCTTTCAATTATCTAACATTAATTTATTTAGGAAGGTTTTATACAACTCTTATGTTCTACAATTCACGTATTATGCGTCCGTCGTGATTAGACTAGACAAAGTGTGTTTTTGTTTCAAGTTAGAGAGTCATTGAAAACCTGCAGGCAGTGAGTACTGGACAGCTGTTTCGTCCTAGTCTGGAACTCTTCACGCTACGTAGCCACTGGGGTTTGATCCCAGGACTTTTCGGCTACAAAGTAAACTCGTGAACCATTCGACCAGTACTGAGACGCGACTTACTGGCCGATGAATACCAATTCGTGATTTTCAGTGCGACTGGCTGAAGTCAGTGTCCTCGGTGTGAGTATTTGTCTTCATTCTTGACACCGAAGGGACCCCACTGGTCAAGACTTCTTACTAGAATTCACTCCAAGAAACACTGTCCTGTAACCAGTTACTGGTGATCATCAGATTAGTTTTTTCTACAAAAGCAATTTGTATGGGGATTTGATCTGTTTGAAGTTGATACCAGTTAGAGAAGCATCAGACACCTGTAGGAAGTGAGTTCTGGATAATTGTTCCCTCCTTCTATGGAGCTCTTTGTCGACGGTGGATGCACTCATGACACCCCCCCACAGCCAGGGCGAAACAGCCGTCTAAGGGGATGGTTTTCTACATCATACAACTTGAGATCGGATCCCTGAGAATCAACGCATAAAAATTGATTCATCAGTCACCATTTCGGGTGTATAGACAAATACTCACCCGATGATAACGTTCTATATTGAAGTGAATTTTACTGCTATATACCACCACCACGTGTTGTCAACCATTAAAAATTAGCGACAATGAAACATGGACACTGAAATCTCATTTATGAGGACGTGTATACACACATCTTTGTCTTGACACATCATCCATCCTTCAACAAATTCGGCTTTTTATATATATAGAACAACACATTTAAGCGAACAGTAATACTGCTGTTTTCAATTAGATCTCATCAGGCTTAACTCTAATATACCTACCTGTCTGTCTGTCTATCTGTTTTCGACATAGAAGATATGATCAATACACTCTCTTCCTGGTCTAAAGCCTGCCTGGCTCTCTCGTGTTTGTGCCTCCCGAGCACCACTTAGTCTACGCATGATTATTGAGCCTAGGACTTTAGATACCTATGTACCTTTATATTCCTACCTACATCACTTTACAAATAAAAATTCAAATATAAACACCAACCATGGTGTTTTGTCTATAGGATAATAAGCTGGTGAATATAAATTGTGCATTTAGTCATAATAGTAGTAATGATAATTATTATTATTTCCTTTAATTCCTAGAGGAACATAGGGCTTCAGCTGCGTGTCTCCATTGCGTGCGGTTCCCTGCTAGAGTTTTCACCTGACTCCAAATCTGCCCACACGCTTTTATCTCCTCTTCACATGACCTCCTCCAAGTCACCCTCGTACTGACAACCAACTCGCCGCTCCCCTTTCGGGTTCCACTCGAGCGATGGCTTGTCTAGTGATGTCACTCACTTGATGGTTTCCTCGGCGTATGGCCAATCCATCTCCAGGTCTTCCTGCTTATTTGTTGCACAATCGGTTCCTGGTTGGTTCACTCACTGCCAGAGATCCCTGTTGCTGATCTTTTCTGGCTGGCCATCTGATCTTGAGTATTGAGCGAAGGCAGCTGTTAATGAAGGTCTGTAGTTTGTTTGAGGTGCTCTTCATGACACGCCAAGTCTCTGATCCGTATAGTACCGCTGACTGACTTCACATTGGAGTTGAAAATCCGGATCTTATTTTCATTTTCATGATGAGCGCTGTTGACCTCCAAACAGACTTGGTAGAAATGAAAGCTTGCCTTCCCAATCCTTGCTTTGATATCCTTGTCAGTTCCGCCCGTAGTTGAAACGACGCTTCCCAGGTAGGTAGGTAGGTAAAGGAGGTTGTTTCTTTCAAGTTCCTCCCATTAATGCTGATTGTTGTCTGTTGTTGTTGTTGCTGCTGTTGGTGGTGTTGTCTAGGAATCTTCATCACCTCTGTTTTCTCTATGTCCACCTGAAGGAATTCGCATCTTTGATGCTTCTTCTGCCGACTTGTTACTTTTTACCTACGTATCTTCCAGTTTGTGGGAAATCAGATATATATCATCGGCGAATTCCAGACGCTCCAAGTTTTTAGTATGGGTCCATTTTATGCCTGTTTCCTCATCACCCGTTGTCTGTCGCATTATCCAATCTACTGCAATAATAATAATAATAATAATGGTCGTATCAATAATAAGGATGAAAAAGTGGAAAATCTGTGATAATACGAATAATGAAAAACAAACAATTGTTCAGGTAGGCGTAGTAGTCGATAAAGGCTAATAAAAACAAATGAACCGATTAAGTAATTCTAGATTGTAAGGGAAGGAAATGAAACTCGTTTTTAATGAAGATGTGATAAGGTTAAGGGATGATAAGAAAGGTGTTGAAAATATAAGCAAGGGATGGTGTAGATGTTATCAGTTGGTTATGTCTTAATAGGCCAATAAGGGAGGGATAATGGCTGTATGAACTTCTTTTGAATGAAGGTATAGTTTAGGTTTAATTGTTCGAATGCCTATCGCCTCATCTGTGTGTGTGTGTGTGCAGTAGACGAATACGAAGTCTATTAGAAAGATTCGGTGGGTTACGATGAATTACTCTGAAGGCTTTCGTTTTCTCGACTACATGACCACTAACAATTAAATATGACAGAATTGAGTTACGGATTGTTTTTGTCTGTCCTTTGCCAAACCACCACGATGGGAGATGTTCACCAACAACACGTTAGCTAAGCTGTCTATTAGTAGTGTGTCCAACATAACTGTCACCGTGGGTGCAGTTGAATTGATAAATACACATAGATGTATCAAAACTATCAAGCTTATCCTTCGTTTGCGTTCCAATCATTCGTCGGCTAGAGAATGACAAACATAGGTGTGCTGCGAGAAGTGTTCTTCGTATACTCCTTGAAAGTCTTTGAAATAGAACCTCACTTGATAAGCCAACATAAAATTGTAACTTAATAAAGAGAGGTTTCTTACGTGCAGTCAGAGTCTCAGGTTGGTTTTCTCTCTGATGTTTTCATATGTTTCTTTGTGAAATGATTTTCCTGATTGCAGTAGATTGGATAATGCGACAGACAACAGGCAATGAGGAAACAGGCATAAAATGGACTCACGCGAAAGGAGACTTGGAGGATCTGGACTTCGCCAACGATGATATGTCTGATTTCCCACAAACTGAAAGATATGCAAGTGAGAAGCAACAAGTTGGCAGAAGAAGCATCAAAGATAGGACTTCAAGTGAACATAGATAAAACAGAGGTGATGAAGATTCCTGGCCAACAACAATCAGCATTAATGGGAGGAACCTGAAATAAACAACCTCCTTTACTTACCTGGGAAGTATCGTTTCAACTACAGGCGGAACTGACGAGGATATCAAAGCAAGGATCGGGAAGGCAAGGCAGACTTTCAATACTCTGAAGTCTGTGTGGAAGTCAACAGCGCTCATCATGAAAATAAGGTCCGGATTTTCAACTCCAATGTAAAATCAGTGCTTCTATACGGATCAGAGACTTGGCGAGTCATAAGGAGAATCTCAAACAAATTTCACACCTTCATCAACAGTTGTCTTCGCATATGACCGGGCGTCTTACATAGCCTCTCCTGAGGAAGTCCTACTCACTGCCTTCACGTGGCGGAGGTGTTTTTCACCAAAGTGAGAGGGCAAAAGCGGATGCCCGGCGCTCTTCACCGGGTTGACTGTCCATTGGATGACAGTCTAGGGGAGATGGCTAAATCCTGATTCCAAACCTCCAACGACTGGCGTATGAAGCTTACTGGAGCTCACCGGCAGACGTATGGACAAAGGGCTTATTGGATGCCCTGGATGACTGGCCCCATTCAAAAAGGCGAATGAACCGGACTCCGGTCACCGGCTGCCAATGGATAGTGGACTCCTTACTCCACTCCTACTGCCTTGTAGGTCACACTTGGCTGTGTAAAGGCTAGAGCTGCACTCTCAAACAAAAGGCCGAGCGATGCTGGGGACATCACTCGTACCAAATTCCCATGAAACTTCATGGTTCATGAAGCTGGCTCATCCTCCCGTAGGAGATAGCCGAAGTAAAGTAAAGTAAGTTGTCTTCGCTCCATATTCTAGATCACATGGCCAGCCAGGAAAGATCACCAACAAAGATCTCTGGGAGCGAACCAACCAGGAACCGATTGTGAAACAAATAAGCAGGAAGAAATGGAGATGGATTGGCCATACGCCGAGGAAACCATCAAGTGAGTGACATCACTAGACAAGCCATCGCTCGAATGGAACCCGAAAGGGAAGCGGCGAGTTGATCGTAAGTGTGAGGGTGACTTGGAGGAGGTCATGTGAAGAGGAGATAAAAGCGTGTGGGCAGACTTGGAGCCAGGTGAAAACTTTAGCAGAGAACTGAACGCAATGGAAACGTGCAGCTGAAGCCCTATGTTCCTCTAGGAATTAAAGGAAATAATAATAATTATCATTACTACTATTATGACTAATTGCACAATTTATATTCACCATCTTATTATCCTATAGACAAAACACCATGATTGGTGTTTATATTTGAATTTTTATTTGTAAAGTGATGTAGGTGGGTAGGTATATTAGAGTTAAGCCTGATGAGATCTAATTGAAAACAGCAGTATTACTGTTCGCTTAAATGTGTTGTTCTAAATTCTACTATGGGGAAAAATTTTTATATGCATACCACAGTGATTTCAATTGATTCAAGATGTCACAGTATTTTCGACCTTAGGATAAAGCTTCCATTTAATATCGTTGAAATTTACTATCTGCAAGTCAGTTAGTAATTTGTAATGTACACAGTTTTCTGAAGGTGCAATTCTCATCAGAGTTTCGTTTATCGAAACCAAATGATTCAGATGATAGGATGTGTTACCATAGTGAGTTGTTAATGAAGAAAATTGTAAATTTTTAATTGGTTACAGGATTTCAGTATGAACTGATGTCGGCTAGTCGGCAATTGGACAGTCGTTTCGTCCTGGGGCAGGACTCTTCATCAGTACGTGGTCACACTGGGTTCCGACCCCAGGAACTTCTGGTTATGAAGTGAACTGATAGACCATTAAGCCACACTGAGACTCGATCCCCATGGCCAGCCCATGAATTTCAACTTGTGCCAATTCACGATGTAGTGCGACCACAAGCCACCAACCTGCTGTACCCCACTGGTTATGACTTCTCACTAGAATTCAGGTGGCTACCTGGTTGAATGCGGTGGGTGGGGGGCAGTCGCTAGTGAGCATCAGGTGAATGTTCAAGTGTAGGTGAACACTAGTTCATCCAAGCAGTTTTCTAGCCGGAAACTATGGATACTGGGTTCGAGCCTCGGTGGGAGCATCATCACTCATTGGGGAATGCAGGTACATCCAGTTGACGAGTCCTAAGTTGGGCCAAATATGTGTTGTCCTGGTGGATTCCACTGCTAGTCACCATCCACCAATTAACTTCTAATTACATGCTCAGACATCGTCGAGGTATCTGTACAAAAAGCCGACAGGTCAACCTGAGGCCGAGCACTTCGGTCCAGTCAATCGACGGGAAAATCTAAAATTGAATTTAAATAATTAGTATTACCCGTTGCACTAGAGGTGACTGTCATGGTCCAAGTGGTCTAGTGGATAATGCTTTGGCATTTGAACCTATGGGCACTGGTTTCAAGCCTCGTTAGGAACACTGGGGAATGCAGGTACATCGAGATGACGAGTCCCGAGTAGGACGAATCGCGCATTCTGGATTCCACCGCTAGTCACCACTCATCAATTAACTTCTAGAAACCGAAGTGGTTTAAATACTTACTGGGCTCTCTGAATTGATTTCGGCCCCAAATTACCGAAATGGTCGTCCGATGTTTCGACCACATTGACGATCTGGCCGGCTAACAACCACCATTACTGCGTGGTGACGTGAGTAGTACCCGAGTACAACTCATCTCAGTTAATCAGTAATATATAGTTTGATGCTAATGTTTCTGTAATATACTAGAAAAACACGAATGAGGATCTTTGCAGCTCTAAGACTATTATTTGTTGCTTTAAGATGTATGTCTTCTTGGCACTGAATAATTGTAGTCCTGTCGGATTTCGTTGAAGAAGCGCTTACCGCCGACAACCTCCAACCATTGAACGCACCAATCATTATATTCCTTATAATATATAAATAATAATAAGAATTGTTCCTTCACGTTCCCAGTGGAACATAGCATGGTTTATTTTACAGGATGGGGTTGCTAGCCTCATGCCTAGCCAACCTTTCCTCTTTACCAGCTTTATTTCTGGCTTAGCGATGTAAAGGAGTGAGTCGGTCGGGGCTCGAACCCCGGACTATGTGCAAGGTAGGCGAGCGTCCTAATCGCTTTGCCACCGACGCGTGAATATATAATAATAATATATAGTTTAATTTATTATACAATGTCGTTTTTTTAAAAAAATTTCTTCATTATTATTTTTGTCTGTTCATTTTTAGTGCGCTTGATTCTACAGTCGACATATTAGAAGGTCGTTATCATTTGAAAAGAACAAATTCTTAATTGTTGAATATCAAGTCTTCATCACATGAAAACTGATATTTTTCTTTGTAAATTTTACTTTTTATATACATTTGTGTGTGTGTGTTTGAAGTGTATGCTAATGATGATGATTTTTGTACAGCTCTTGTTTTAATCAAAAGTCATTGTTTTAATGTGTGCATTTTTTCCGCGGGATTTTTGAAAATATATAGGCAACACGTCATTGTTCACTCTCCTTCGGACGAATGAGTCTGTTTTGCTGCACTAGTTGATTCATTAGCTGTATATTTTTTTTTGAAATTATATTGGAAGGAGTCTTTCCCTTCCTCAGTTGTTCGATGAATATAGTAAAGTGAACATAATCCTATTTTTGTTTTTTCAACTAACCGTAGTTTCTCCATTGTAGGATGTTACGTCAACTGAGGTGTTGAATATTCTTGGGACGAGTGAGGATAACAGAGATTCCTTCCTGTATAGTTCTTAAGGCATACAACCAGTGAATAAATTCGGCTGATACACAAACTCACTCACACGAGGGAGAGTGCTTGAACAATGCGGCTGTGTTGCGTATGTTTTCAAATCCCGCGGTAAAAATTCTGTATTAAAATTTGAAAAAAAAATACCTCATATACTCACAATGTTTCATTTTGATTGTTGTTGTTTTTTACATTTACGACAAGAACTGTACAGTGAACATCATTTAATCCAAATTCTACATTACTCCTTCTTCCTGTTGTTGTTTGTGAATCCTCACTATGTCTCAGTTTCTTTTGCCATTTGTGCTGGTGTGACTGTCTTAACTTTCCAAGTTTATTTATTGACATATTCACTCAGGGATTGTTTCTTTTTTGTATGTATGATTTATGCTAATAAATCTCTTGTGTACAATTAACCTATATGATTGATTGACTGATTATGGACTTAACCGTAACTCACTTCAGAGACTCAGGGATTGACTTGCTACCTTGAGCTGCAATCTACGTATGTTTCGCATGCGATTCGCTCCCCTTGTCAAATGTGGGATGATGAGGCTACAGGACTGAACTACACTGACTCACTCCTGGTTTAGAAATAGGGAGTGAAGTGGTTGGTGGAGCATGTTGACTGCTTCACTTATTTGGGAAGTTGCATCAGCTAGCGCCAACGGGTTGATCTCTGATGAAATCTCAGCACGAATACAGGGGGCTGGTTTCGCGTTTGCCAGTTTACGCCGACTCTGGCTTAGTAGACGAGATCTTCAACTGGCTATCGACCAAAGGGCGGGTGTACTGCTCATCAGTCCGCTCCGCCCTCCTTTATGTCTGTAAGGCATCGCCATTGAGAGTGGAAGACATGAAGAAACTACCTAGCTGTCTTTGATCATAGGTGCCTGCGCTCTATTTCCCGTGTAAAGTGGCATAATAAGGTGAGAAATATTGAGGTTAGGCGTAGAGTTCTAGGTAAACTGGGGAAATCAATCGATGAGGCTGTGAAATTACATAGACTGAGATGGTTAGGACATGTGTTACGTATGCTTAGTCATCGCCTTCCTCGACCGAAGAGCAATGTTAGCTGACATAGGATTGGTCAGGCTGGAAAAGAGCTAGCGGCGGTCAAACCAAAACATAGCTTCACCAGTCAATGAAATCTACAACAGTTAGTCTAAGCCACGTGGGAAGTTGTAGACCGGCTTCCTGGTTCAGGTCTTCGGGATGGTAAAGACCAATGGCTGGACACAATCCGTGGTATGGCTCAAAATCGTTCTCAATAGCTAGCGCAGATGCATCCACTCCTTGTGACTTATGATTTCCAATGAAACTATATTGTTCTTCGTTATTACTATTCCTTTGTCTCACACCTCTGTTTACTGTCTTTATTATGCTTTTCTTGTACTTTCTTCTCTTGGTTTGTGTGCTACAAGAAGTGGAGTGTGGTGACTTGAATTGATGCACATCGGTGCAAAGTTCTATGTCGAAAAGAGATAGACATCAGACTGATCATCAACCAATCAGGACAGATATATTTCCAACCAATAAGAACAATCCATTCCTACAGCTGTCAGCCGACTTTACTATGGTTAAGGAAATGTATAAATTATCATGCGTTGTTTCTTAAACTATGTAGTGTGTAGTACAGTATTATAAATACAATATCTTACAGTCACAGGTCACAGGACTTTGTCTTTTGATATTTTCGTGGCTCAGTGAATCCGGAAGGTACAACTTAAAAGTAGACGTATTACCGTACCAGTAGTCGAGTTCATTACCGTTATAGTTAGTAATTAACAGGCGCAGACATAACAAGGTAGCAACGGATTTATTAAGTTCACTTTAGGTTATAACAAATTGACAAAGGAGTTATAAAGAAAATTTAATTGTGTAGAATGGATAGGAACTAGTGGAAAGACGATAAAGTGTTTTTTTTAATATAAAATCTGTATGAAAATGCAACGTTATTAATAAACAGTAATAGAGTGATAATAAAATATGATTGATGAGGATAGTAATAGTGTAACAACGGAAGACAAGGGCCAGCCAAACAGATCGTTTATTTATTAAGAAAATCAAAACATATTTATAGATTGTCATGTACATTATGTGATAGATTATTGTTAGCAGAAAAACACAGTCCTCTCTGATTGGTGGTTGTTTCTCATTGAAAGTTAATCTTTCATCTCTTTGTGGCTACTGTTTCTTGAATGTCAGATCATCTATATGTTAACTGTATCCGCCTACGCAAAGTCTTTGTTCTCATTTGTCTCACGACCCATATAGCGGGGACATAAACATCGACGTAAATTACTGTCTACTAATTTGGCTAGCAGCCAGTTCTCGCCACAATAGTAATACTAAACTCACAATGAAGTGAAGAAAAATTATAATAAGAACGTTACTCTTGCCACGGTAGCGTGGCAAGTGAATGTATATAGTACTTTTGAATGCAAAGGTTCGGTATAAGATCCCGAATAACTAATGATTCAGTTATGCATAGATGGCATATTTGAAGTTCTTTCGTACGATATTGAAAGACTTTCTGTAACACTATGGAAGCATTCATGCGAGACTGTACGATGTCCAGAGTTGACAAAGTATTCTAGGCTGCAGCTGCTAGTATTCTTATTTTCTTCTCTGGTTGGCTGTCCAAGCTGGACATTGTTTCAGAATACATTTTCGGACTTGAAGTCGATATACCTTGCTCCACACAAAAAAAGTAAATTGATAAATACACATTGAGACGGCCAATAGCGGTAACCTATCCTTAACGTTAGGACTGCACTAACCGTCTGCTGGAGAATGTGATTCGTAAGGTGGCTGTTTGAAATATCTTGTTCAGACATTTAGAAAGGCGGTTTCCAAGAATTTCTGCTTCGAATTCCAGGAGGACTTTCTTTGGAACACCTGCGATTTTTGGCGATGGAGGCTTTTCCTTCATGCTTTTGTCGATAAATCTCGGTAGATATCGTAATGAATTTAATTCATTCTCTATATCTTGTCTTCTGAATAGATTTTTCGAATCCTTGAGCACATAATGCACCTACTAGGCTTTGCTTTCGGATCATTAAGTCTTGTCAAGAATCAATGATCTGAGACTTTTGGTGATATTGTTTGCATGTATTAACTCTTGATGAACTCTCAGATCCATTAAATCGTCATTTCGCTCCATGTGAGTATATGGAATGTAGTAATTTGAACAGCCTCAATACTTCTATGCAAAGTTCTATATTGAAACTCGGTCAGTCAGTTTATTATTTATTATACCTGATTTTTCAAATGTTAGTTGCCAAGGATTTGATTGATTTCAGTTAAGACAGAGAAGCAAAGCTTGGAATGGCAGTCACCTCTCTATCTCAACTTCATTGATTTTGAAAAGGCCTTCGACAGCATCGATCGAGAGGTGGCTTGGAAACCACTTCGCTACTACGCAGTCCCGCCAACGACAATTATACATCTCATCCAACAGTTGTACGACAATGCTGCATGTCAAGTAATCTACAACGGGAAACTCACGGAATTCTTCTAAGAAGTGAAGACAAGAGTGAGAAATGCTAGCTGCCTACTATCTCCAGTGATTCTCTTGATTGCAGTAGATTGGATAATGTGACAGAAAGCGGCCCGGGCTACTAGGAGACAGGCATGAAATGGACTCACACAAAATCAGGACTTCGCCGATGACATATATATGTCTGATTTCCCACAAACCAGAAGATATGCAAGTGAAAAGCAACAAGTTGGCAGAAGAAGCATCAAAGATAGGCCTTCAGGTGAACATAGAGGTGATGAAGATTCCTCGCTAACAATAACTGCAACAACAACAATCAGCCAGAATAAATGGGGTAAATCTGAAAGAAGCAACCTCCTTTACCTACCGACCTGGGGAGCGTCGTTCCAACTACAGGCGGAGAGAATTGACGAGAATATAAAAGCAGAGATCGCGAGAGCAAGGCAAGCTTTCATTTCTCTCAAGTCTCTGTGGAGATCAACAGCACCCAACATGAAAATAAGATCCGGATTTTCAACTCCAATGTGAAGTCAGTGCTACTCACTATACGTACAGATCAGAGACTTGGCGCCATTTCATGAAGAGCACCTCAAAAATACTACAGACCTTCATTAACAGCTGTCTTCGCTCAATACTCAAGATCAGATGGCCAGCCAGAAAAGATCAGCAACAGGGATCTCTGGCAGTGAGTGAACCAACCAGGAACCGATTGTGCAACAAATAAGCAGGAAGAAATGGAGATGGATTGGCCATACGCTGAGGAAACCATCAAGTGAGTGACATCACTAGACAAGCCATCGCTCGAGTGGAACCCGAAAGGGAAGCGGCGAGTTGATCGTAAGTGTGAGGGTGACTTGGAGGAGGTCATGTGAAGAGGAGATGAAAGCGTGTGGGCAGACTTGGAGCCAGGTGAAAACTCTAGCAGGGAACCGCACGCAATGGAGACGCGCAGCTGAAGCCCTATGTTCCTCCAGGAATTAAAGGTAATAATAATAAAACAGAAAAAGAATAATTGAAAACCAGTGAGTAAGGGACAGTTGTTT